TATAAATATCGTTATATACAAACTGAAACGAGATATATATTGTTTTAGTTATAATTTGTCCTAAAACGATATCAATATCGTCGAATTTGTAATAAAACGATAATAATATTGTTATGTACCAAACTCACTAAATAACATAACAATATACATGTCGTTTTAGTACAAATGTAGCGAGGTCGAACTCGTTTCAGTTGAAACCTACGCTAAAACGACATCTATGTTGTTTCAGTTCACAAAGAACGACATAGATGTCGTTATGCGTAAAATAGACAATTCAACCATCCTTGGCCACCCGACATGCCTTAAACGTACGTAGGACGATCGAAAAATGACATCGAGTGGGTTGATACCACTTGAATGGTTTAGAAAAAACGAACGAAGATACTTTCTTTCTTTCTTTCTATGGGAATAGTTCGAAAGTTGGATACAATCATGACAATACAAATGTTCTTATAGTTTCTTTTGAGTGAGATCGAACCCACTTGATGAACTATTTCGATCATCCTATATATGTCGGATGCATGTTGGGGATCGTGGCTAGTCGAATCGTCATTTTTGACAGAAACGATATAAATATCGTTACGTACAAACTGAAACGAGATATATGTCGTTTTAGTTATAATTTGTCCTGAAACGATATCAATATTGTCGAATTTGTAATAAAACGATAATGATATTGTTATGTATCAAACTCATTAAATAACATAACGACATACATGTCATTTCAGTACAAATTTAACGAGGTCGAACTCGTTTTGGTTGAAACCTACGCTGAAACGACATCTACGTCGTTTCAGTTCACATAGAACGACGTGGACGTCATTATGTGTAAAATCGACGGTCGAATCGTTGTTTTAGTTAGTACGATATAATTATCGTTTTCTATGAAAAGAAACGAAATATGTGTCATTGTAGTTATGATTTGAATTGGAACAATTTCGAACTTGTCAAATTTGTACCAAAACGATATGAAAGTTGTTATGTTATTTTGTGAATTTGACACATAACGATGTCATTATCATTTCAGTACAATTTTGACGACATTGATATCGTTTCAATTTTAATCTTAATTAAAATGACATATATATCATTTTAGGGTATATAAAATGACAATTATATTTTTTAAGGTATATAAAAAGTATATCTTACACGCCGTAAAAAGTTTACGTGGGGGATGAAGGGAGAAAAGATAAAAAAATTAATGACTGGACCAGTGGATGATTACTTAAAAATATAAAAACAATTATTTGAAAGAAAATTAAAGATTTTAAGTTAATTGTCACTAATTATTTATATATTTCGAAATCATAAATTTTGTAGACATTCAATTCATCTTTATTAAAATTAATATTTCAATACATAATACGTATATAAAATAAAGTGAAATATTTGACTATAATTTTTCAAGATATTCAGAATTATATGATTATATATATGTTATTGCATTAAAATAAACAATATTGTTCAATGTCTTAATGGTGAGGGAACTATCATTTTTCTTAGAGGTTGAAGGTTCAAATACCTGGATGTTGAAAATTTGACTATAATTTTTCAAGATATATATAGGTTATTGTAGCAAAATAAATAATATTTTTCAATGTCCTCCTAGTGGTGAGGATAACATTCCAATAAACTTTTTTTTAAAAGGTTGAAGGTTCGAATACTTGAACTTTGTAAATTTGAATATAATTTTTCAAGATATATATATAGGTTATTGCAATAGAATAAACAATATTATTCAATGTCTTAGTGGTGTGGTGAGCATTTTTTTTCCATGAGGTTAAAGGTTCAAAACCTTGAACCTTCAAAAAACAATTTATTTATTTGGTTATACAAGGAGGGTAAAGTAGACATTTGAGATTTTTAAATAATTAATTCTTTTTCCTGTTAAAGAATTTTAGTCAAAGGCCATTTAAACAAAAAACTTGTTAAGGCAAGGCCAATTCAACTCATTCCCCTTCATATTATTTACATCATCACGAACACAATGTAAACGGTTATCAAATTCATATTTACAAAACATTGAAATTCAAATATATACAAAAAAGTTTGAAATTAGCTGATAATTGCATTCATTTTACTAAATAATTATGAAATCAACAATTTATTATTGAATAACCAAATAAAATCCGAATTATTTGAATCAAAATTCGGAAATTATTATTACATATAATTCCAATTTTTTTAACTACATATTTTTTTTTAAAAAATAAAATTACAAATAATGGGGGCTAAATAGTATTATTCAAAAAAATTAAAATTAAAAAAATAAAAAATAAAAAAATTTAGGCCCAAATTCGTAATCCTCTGCATGGGAGAGAGAAAAAAATTGTAAATCCACTTTAGAGAGAGAAAGTTGGGAAACCAACGAGCACGAAGACGAACGAACCTGACCATTTATATAAAACTCTCTCTCAAACACACAGACACGCACAAACACATGCATACATAATTATATATTAACCCTATACATCTATTTATCTCTCTCTATTGTACTAATTGGAGAAAAGGGTGAATGCTTGGATGAGTGTAAAATTTCTAGGGCAAAACATTTGTGCTTTGAATTGAGGTACGTTAAAACCCTAGAATTGAGGGGAATTATGTAGAATCGCACTCTCTTATCCATAGATTGTATTTCTCGCGTTTCTGATCACAATTCAGGTGTTATTTTCTCATTTCCAGCTTTGAAGCCCTAGAATATGGAGCTATGCCCAATTTCACATAAACCCCATATTTTATCCAAGACATTTTATTTGAACTTTGGGGAAATGGATACTGCAATGCTGGTCATGTGATTTTGTTCGTGCATTTTGTTTGAATTGCTGTTCTGTGATGGTTAGCATTTGATTATTTCGAGAATGTCCTATCATCCTGTATGTTAATTAAGTTGAATTTTATGTATTTCAAGTCTAGTTGCTTTCTTTTTTTAAACTTTTAGTTGTTCTGTCACGGGAGTTTTAAAGCTATAATGTAATCACAAGAGACTGTACTGAAGCAACTGCACAAGAGCTGAAGTTTTGAATTCTATTTTTGGAATCTGACTGTTTTTCTGCTTAGAAAAAATTCCAATTTTTGAGCAAATTTTAGATCATTTTAGTTGAAGTCTGTTGATCCATGATATGTGTCCGATGATTAACTCATCATTTTAGTTGAAGCCAGTTGATCCATGCACACACATTCCACAACTTGCCTATATTGTTCTTTTCATATTCATTTTTACATTTAGCATATATTTTTCGTGTGCCAAATAGCCGATAAAGAATTCACAATCTCTCTTCTCACACCTGCTGGTTGCTAGAGTCGATGCTGTACATACATGAATATTCACTCCTCCTTTGAGTTTGTATGTGTAGTGAGTTTGTACGTCTGCACATATTTAGTTACCTTGTTTGTAGTCCCACTAGGAACATATAAGGGCCAATTTTGTGGGTACCATCTAATGTATAGTGTAATTGCATATGTTTAGTTTGGTTTCACACTACACATAATACTAGAATTTTATTTTGAATGAAATGTGTTGTTGAGATGAATTTGGTTTTACGTTTTTTAGTTTTTAATCGTTTTTTGGATAGTGTTAATGGTCAACAATGATGATCGTTAGGACCTAATACAACCTAATTTTACAGTAGTTCTCCATATATGATGAATGCATGTTATGTCCTCATTCCATGTCTTGTAGTATTAAGCTTATCAAGTAAGTCTAAATTGGAAGCGTTTCACTTGCTTGATGAAAATATTGGTACTCATTCATTCAAATTTTTACGGTATCAATGCCTTGTGAGATATGTTTTGAGTTACTACACGTTGTCCGTAAGAACGTAACATGAATGAAGATGTAAGTAGGATGTGTATGCATACTAGAATTAATAGAGTAGGAAATGAGGATATTTACTAACAAGTGAAGGTGACAAAAATTGAGGATAAATTAAGTGAATGATGATTTAGGTGGTTGAGACATGCCTTGTGCAAATTTAAAGAAATTCTTATCTAAAAGTGGGACACTATTGCCGAAAATAGGTTAGGAGAGAGTTGTAAACCAACATTAACTTGGTCTAGTTTTGCTAGCAAAATATTTGATTTGATTAGATCTTTTGGTAGATTCAGTGATAACAAAAAAGACGTGTAGCCTACTTCTAATTAGTAGAAATAAGGCTTAGTTTATTGTTATGTATTAATAAAGAGTTTCACTATAAAGATACCTACACAAGTAGGTAACACCAATATGGTACTTCATACTACATTTGTTGACTAACAATCACCATACTAAGTTACGTCGCAACATTTAACATATTTAACAATTTAGCTTCAAGTTTATCTTCATTTATTGCTCTAAGATGGATGTGCACTACAGCTGTCATGACGTGTATGAAGTTCAGGCTCATTACTGGCAATTTGCAAATGATAGAATCGAGCAATTTGATATTTAATGTCTCCAGTGGACACTGGACAAGTGTACTAGCATATAGCGGCTTTTTGAAAGTTGCTGGTCTTTCTACTTCATAGTTCTTATCCCATTCTGTTCTTAATTTAAACTTTCATTGTTCACATGCAAAGTTTCTATCTGTTGACAATGTTCCCAAACCAAAAGCTAGAGAAATTACACCAGGCAGAGACTTGAACTTGATTTTGTTGCTGCAACACAAAAGTAAACGTTTGGAAAGCATAATTTGCATCTCGAGGGCTAATATTTTTCTGAATCCTCTTGTTTTACTTGCATTTATCTCTCAATATTAGTCCATTAAGGTTCCATGAGGAATTTGTGCCAAGTTAGTGCAAATTTGAGATGTGAATCTCGATTTTCTGATCTGCTTAACTGAAATATCTTCAAGCTTCTAAAGTAACCTTTTCTCCATATTGTCTAGGTCTCATAGTTGTAATGTTCAAATAAATGTCTTTTTGGCATGTTCTGATAACTGAGTCTTCCCGTTCTTTGCTTCTTAGAAGTTTGCTTTTAAGTCTTGAATTAATGGAGTGGATCACCTGCTGCTAGTAAAGTGGGAATGCATGGATTTAGTTCCGCACCTGCTCTCTTAGTAAACACTGAGGTTGATTCTATGGGAGGAGTTGTTGAAAGCAGAGTTGGTGTTGGTGACAAAAATTCTCCGCGATGCGTAGTAATTGAGAAGGTTCAAGCTGAGCTTAGGTAATGCTACCATGGTGCTTTGCTCTTATTGTATGCCCACCACAAACATTTGCTTGTTTACAATGTTTTATTCTTCTCATGGCAATGATAAATTATTTGTGGTAACAGGCAGGAGTATGATGTTCGAGAGGAAAGGAGGAGAGAATTAGAATTTCTTGAAAAAGTATGGAGCAGTACTTTGATTATTTTTTCTGAATCTTCATTGGATATCTATGAGTGCTTAATTGCATTGTAATTTCAGGGTGGAAATCCCTTGGATTTTAAGATTGGGAACGCTTCTTCGGTTAGTGTCCAGTCAACTTCATTGACAGATCACAATCCTGATCAGTTCGTTACCAGGTATTTTCTCTGAGGTTTTATTTCATTTATGGTTCCAGATGTAAGAGTTTATGCTTATCTGATAATAAATTTGGTATTGAAGTGAAGCAAAAGGTAGTTTTGCAATTACTGCATCACCTCATGGAGACTCTGTGGAAAGTAGTGGTAGACCTGGGGCACCTCTGTCCTGTGAACCTAATAGCGCTGATAATCTCACGTTATTTGATGGTGAAAATGAGTTTTCTGAAGGTGATCGGAACTCCTTACATCCTCATAGGAGTAGCATTGCTCTACCAGAGCACTCACTCCGATTAGATGGCAGTCAGAATCTGAAAGAGCTTGGGGATTCAGCTACTTTTAGCCTCCCGAGAAAAGCATATAAGAGGCGTTACAGGCCCAGACCAAGTCGTAATGGAGCTAGGTCAGGTTCAAATGATGTATTTCTAGCTCACGGAGGTCATGACTCTTTACCTTTGCGCCATGGTCCCAGGGATGTAAAAGGGCCAATCTCTCATGCAGAAAACCAAGAAGACCTAGATATGTCATTGAAACGCAATTCAAAGCCTACAAGTCCTAAAGAAGGTACACATATCCATAAGACTTCTGTCTCAGATGGTCAGCAGGATATGGAGTTGGATGGTGCAAGGGCTGTAGAATCAAGTGAGGACCTGATTAAAGGCGGTTCACCAAATGTTACTACTTCCACGTTTCTTCTGGATGGTCAGCTTAGTCAACAATCATTATCTGGTGCTGACGAAGCTCCTAATGAAATGGTTATTGATGAACTTGTCACATTTGAGGCAAGGGAAGAGGCGATTCCAACAGGTATTGAATGCCAAACAACTTTGACTGCTGTGGAAGTTGAGAATCAATCTAATTCCTGTCCAGTGAATGGCGCAAAAAATGATACTCAATATAGAAATGCAGCATGTGGTACAAAGAGTTTGCATTCTGAGTCATCTTGCACCCATCCTAGCAAAATTATAGACAGAAATAATGATAGTGAAATGCATACTAATGCCGAAGATATTGAATTGAATGGCAATAACAGATATCAAACCTCAGTGCCTGATGGGTCCCCATCTATAGAAGGTGATGAATTGGTTAAACAAAATAAAGAAACCAAGGCTGATGACCTTTGCACTTTTGGTAATGAGGAATGCAGTCAAAGCCATCAAGAGAATGGTCTTGTTCTAAAAGCTGATGAAGAATTAAATGGATGTGCATCTGCTTTGCAAAATGAGGCGAAAGATCAAGTTATCATTGAAGGAATGGAAGCTGGTGTTCCCTCTGGACCAGAATCAGAGAGGCAACCTAACGTCTCTATGGATGACACTTCTGAATGCAAAAATAAAAAATTGTGCAATATTAAGCATAAGGTTTCTCTCGAGTCCTCAAATTCAGAACTCTCTGAGGGTGCAGTTTTGGCTAGGGTTTCTACTGTTACCCCGGAGGGACAAACTTCTGTTCCTGATCTGAAATTGACAAGCGAAGCTGCTGAAGACTCAATCTTGGAAGAGGCACGGATCATAGAGGTTATTTCTTTTTATCTGTCTCTAATTGATGTACCAATTATGATGAGCATGAAGAAAATTGTCATTGACTGTAATGTGAAGCCCCAAATATGACGTGATATAGTGAACAGGCAAAGCGGAAGAGGATTTTGGAGCTATCAACTGCTACTATTCCATTAGAGAAGTGTCGGAAATCTCAGTGGGCTTATGTGCTTGAGGAAATGGCATGGTTAGCGAATGATTTTGCACAGGTTTGATTTTATCAATAAATCCAAGTCTTTTGTTTTGTCTTGAATCCTTCTACCATTCTTTTTTTCTGGAAGCTTTTGCAGGAGAATTTCAAAGAAACAGATGTTTTTCAGAATAGAAATAGCTATAAATTCTCTTTTTTTCTATAAACAAATTCAATTCCAGGTTTTGTCTTTAAGATGCTTTATGTTTCTATAGCCTTCTTGTTTTAAAATCATTTCTTTCCACATAGGAGCGTCTTTGGAAGCTAACTGTTGCTGCTCAAATATGTCATCGAGTTGCTTTTACTTCTCAGTTAAAGAAACAAGAAGAAAGTTTATGTATGAATGTAAAGAAAGTTGCTCATTCCTTGGCAAAAGCCGTCATGGAGTTCTGGCATTCAGTACAGGTATACGATTGGATACTGCTTTGTTTTTTGTTGGTTGTTTTGATGTAATTTAACGATGTGAGATGGCATTTTTCATATATCATTGTGCATGAGTATCTCATTCAGTTATGGGCTGTGGTTCAAGCTTTATTTCACGTTTCCTCATTGCGTTAATGAGTAAATAAGATTCTAATTAAGTCATGATTTTCTTTAAATATCTCAATTGTATTCCTTCTTCAACACTGTTGGCAGCTTAGTATAAGTTGAGGACCCACAGAAAGGATCCGTTGGTTAATGAATTATACAAGGAAACAAACATGATTTGATGGAATAATTTATATATTTATGTAACTCTATGCATGTAATGCACTCATAGTATGTCATACGTGTTTGTCGTTGGATGATATCTTACCACTCCCTGTTTTTACTACCTCCATAAAATTAACCAGAAAGTGTCTCTGCTTTTTAGTACCTCATATCTGATAAGAATTATCCTCATAATCAGGATGGATTCTGAATTTTATGTTTTGCGCCTTGTGCTAGGCAATGGGGTAATAAAAATGTACATGTAAAAGGACCGACCTATTTCAGATGTTTATGTTTTTTAAAGCATCATTCTAAAAGAAACTTCAGTACATGAGTTTGAATTTGAAGGCGCTCTTGTTTCTCATCAAATTTTTTGCTTGTATTCACATCCCTTTTGTTTTTGTCTGGATTCACCTGCGGAATTTTGTGGTTGTGTTCTCCTATATTGCGAATGAGGTTCTCCTATATTGCGAATGAGGTTATTTATCTTTGTAATAGACTGTTTGTAGGTTAAATTGAATAAAGTCCTTAACACCATTATTGATCTATATATGCATCTTTAATGAGGGAGAAGGATGGGTGGGGGGGGGGGGGGGGGGGGGGTTCGGGGTGCGTACGGGTAACGGTGCCTCGCCTCGTTTAANTCGGAGTTATAGTTAATAATATTTTACATTTTGGTGGTGTGGCAGGACACAAGTAAAGAGCTGGAGCAGCAATGTCCTGAAAAGGATGTTGAACTTGGCATTCACTCGTATGCAGTGAGATTTCTGAAATATAACAACTCAGATGTCCTTTGTAGTGAAGCTGAGGTGCCAGTGACTCCAGATAGAATATCCGATATGGGTTTCCTGGACATGTCGTGGAAGGATCATTTGATAGAAGTATGAATCAACCTTATACATCTTTACATATATTATTGCTCGTACTCAAATTCTGCAGTCTCTTCCTCCGCTGCTGTTAATTATCCAATCAAGTTCCTCATGTGTCCTTAGTATGAATACACAATTCTACGCAATTTAAGAATTCACCTCTTTGCGATGTTATGTTGTTGGAGCTATTATTTGTGCTTGGTTTGCTTACCTGTTTCTCTTTAAATTATTAATTTTCAGGAGAACCTCTTCTATACAGTTGCCCCTGGGGCTTTAGAAACCTACAGAAGATCAATTGAGTCTCACGTGACTCAATGCGAGGTAAATGCATTGCTCATCTTGTGCTCATTCTAAGAGATACGGCTGCCATAATTACTGCTTTCTTGCATCATTAATAATGTTATCACCATTACCATCTTTATTATTGTTGTTGTTGAGGGTTTCAAATAGAGTAGGCTAAGTGAGCATGGTTTACTTACTTGAGCATTCATTATCATTAAGGTGATAAGAGTATAAATTTTTCTTTATGATGGAAGTTGTACATGGCCTCGAGAAATGTTTATAACTTTCTTTCTGGCTGAGTGTTTGATGACGATTAGAGCTTAGAATATGTCATTATCATAGGTGGCTATCAATGTGGATATTCCTCATTTGTTGCATGATACCAGTGCTTGTCCAAACTAGTAGTGCTATTTGATGGTTAATATCAATTTTTGATTGCGTCATTACATAGTGGGATAGAGGTAGATGACTCTTTACCTTATCAGACAATCTTTGTACAAAATCCTAACCTGCGTGATTCATTTGTTGGTCTTGATAGTGAAGGTACATTTCTATAAAGAGTTAAAGAGATTAAGTTCACCAGTAATGAAGCATAAGCCTTTTTCCCTGAAGGAGCATGAACTATTATCGAATGTGTTGAAGCCTAATATACGTACAGTTTTTCCTCGGCATTAGGTGCAGTAGCTCTTGCATTGAGAGTGCCTTAAATTGCATGTTATTCTTTCTTTTGTTGGCTTATTTTGTGAATTGTGATATTAATTGCTCTCGGTAATATGGATTATTTGTTTAATTCCTAAAAGCTATTTCAGTTTTCTTGTTTAGTTTGTCTATTTAGGCGTATGCTAGGTCATAGGACAGTTAGACGGCAATTTTTAAGACTGACTAACTTATAGATTATCCCTGCATGTTGGAAATTCCAAAATATATTAAAAAACAGTACACGCCACTTAGCATGTTGGATGGGTATACCAGCTTGACCGATGAGTGTTCATGCTTCACTGGTTATGACCTTCTCAGAGATCAAAGATGTCTGATGTGGAGAATTTTTGAAAATTTTCAGCTGAACTTGGCGTGAGATTATTTTTATTGGGCAAAACACTAGGCTCTACAAAAATTTTGAGCAAACTTGGCTGGTGAATAGTTATCCCAGGATGACTTATATTTTCTGGCCCAAAAAAGGAAACTTTCTCAAGGAAGATAAAGAATTTGTCCTTTGGCTATAAGATAGGGTTTTTTTATGGTGCACAGTGCTAACAGCTGTTCTACATCAACTGCTCAGTGAACTCAGCTTCAGAGATAGAATTCTGTTGAGTGAGAGGAGAAAATTCTGGGAAAGTGGATATGGATTCTTAATCTCTATTCTAAACCACTTCGATAAGATAATAGTTGGTCTCTGGCAAACCTCCATTTCACTACAATCTACATAATGGTGGTGTTGAAATTTTGTGTGCTGTTGGACCAGGGTACTCATCCTTCTGTATTTGCGTATAGAGTTTTATCCCATCGATGTAATTGCTATAATAATGCGGAAATAAGATGAAACCGAACCCATTAGAGCCAAGAACATCAAAAGTGTGAAGTAACTTAAAATTATATTCAGCAGTCTGTCCTTTTTGTGAAGTGTCAACTACCAGTTAGCAGCCATCATTGCAGCCAAAACTAGAGCATTTTATTTGTTACTTTTTGGTGGCTGATGTTGATTTTCTTATGCTATTGTTCCTTAGAAAACCGGCAGTAGCATGCAAGAGGAGGTGGAAACATCTGCATGTGATGCTGTAGCAGGTGTGTTGCCATAACTGTGTTTCTTTCTACGTTGCTTTCTAACAAATGTTGTCTTGACAGTATTACTACTGCAGACTTTGAATCTCTAGCTAATGCATATGAAGAAGATGAAGGAGAAACAATCAAATATGACATGGCAGTTGCTTTCGAAGATTGCAAGTCTTCAAGATTTGTCCCAACAAAGCGAAAACACTTGACAAATGCATATGTTTCAAGATCATATGAAGCGGGTCCCGACCCATCTCTCATGCACTGTATGGAGAATAAAGCAGTGATACAACAATCTGCTTTGGCTGGAAAACGGCCAAGCAGCAGTCTTAATGTGTCATTTCCAACAAAGCGTGTGCGGACTGCTTCCAGGAGAGTTTTCAGCCCCTTTAGTGCCGGGACATCTGGATGCATTCAGTTGCCAAACAAGACAGATGCTTCAAGTGGTGATACCAATTCATTTCAGGATGATCGGAGTACTTTGCATGGTGGATCTCTTGTTCCAAATAGTTTGGAAGTTGAGTCGCTGGGTGAATTAGAAAAGCAATTGCCATTTGACTGTGCAGATGTATCGACAAGACCTAAGAAGAAAAAGAAAGCAAAGCATCTGGTATCCATCTTGACGCATTTACTTTTAAATGTATGATATCATCATTATTGACCTTTTTGATTTTTTTTTCTTGCCAGAATACTGCATTTGAACAGAGATGGCAGATGGATTCCAACTTCCATAATGATCAGGTTGATTTAAGTTGTGTTCTGATTAATATTTTCTAGTGCTATTATTACATTCTCTGTATGTTTATTTGAGCTTATTTGATATTCTGTACACAGGATGCATCCTTGTTTTGGTGCTGGCTTAATTAGTTCTATTTATCATAGAGAATGAAGATCTGGTTTAGTGTGCACAAATTTCCTTGTTTAAAAACTGAGATTGTGCACGAGGAATATAAATGTGTGCCATATAGACGGGTTGCCCAATTTCATGTTATTACTTTCTGATTTAAATTTATTATGCATTGATTAATAAAATATTTGATTACCTTTTAAAAAAAAAATAACTGCTATCTGTTTAGTTTGCCAAAAAATAAAAAAAAAAATTCAAATCCATTGTGAATGTACAAAAACAAGCAGATGAAAGATTCCAAGAGAATAAGATTTTAGGTAACCTTATGCCCAACAGACTATTCCTATTAACTCCCTTATGGTGATTTTTCTCAATATAGTTTAAACAACTAATGTATGCTTGTCATGGAGTTGAACTCAGTTTTCCTTATTCCGTTCAATTGATGGATATACATGTAGCTTCTTTAAGCACCAGTATGATTAAGCATCCCAAATTCAGTTTAGTTACTATGATTACAAGTATGAAACCAACATTCACTGATAAAAAAAATGTAAGAAAGTGCACACAATGTGATTTACATTATATTAATGCTTTATACTGCATTAACTGAAGATACAATGTAAACCGTGATAGCTCCAAAGGCCTGGCATAATATTATGATTCGTGAAATACATCATATTTTTGGCTAGGCCTTGCAAATGTCTAGTTATGCAGTAATCTCTATTAAAATCTCCAAAAATGAATTTAGCCCTTGTTTGACAACCATTATTTCAAAACTCTTTAATTCTCATACTTATTTTTCAACCACACATTTACCCAATAGAATATTTTACATGTAAACCAAAAACTTTTCCTTACTTTTTAATCACACATTCTTCAAAAAAATCACTATTCATAACTTCGTTTTCTCTTAATAATGGCCATCAAATAGGGGCTTAGTATAAGATTTTCTGAAGAGGCAAAACAACTTCTCTAAGAGAATGTCCACAGTGCTATTTGCTGCAGAAAATCTGTTCCTACTTTTGGTGGTCAAACAATATGTGATATAATTCTTTGATATTTATAACTCACATAATCAGTAGACTCATCTTAATATTGGCAAACTGAGAAATATATTATGATTTCATTCGCTATGGATTGCCTTCTGTTTATACAAACTCAAATGTCTGCTAAAATGTAGTTCTTTCATTTCAGTATTCTAATTAAGTTGGTTAAGGTTTACTCTATTGATTAAGTACTTAGATTTGCATATTTCATGTAAGCTTTTTAGAGATTGACATTAAATTCTGAAGCCTCTTTTTCATTTTTAGAGGGAACATTTAAGAAAGAGATCGGAGAGTTATCAACTTGAATCTAATGGCAGCAATGGTAAAGCTTCGTCATTCCTCAAGCCAGAAGTGGTACTTATTACTGATGTTTACATTCTTGCTGCCTTACATACTTACATATCTCCTGTGAAGGTTTATTTGGTCAACATATAATGAAGAAGCCGAAGATTATGCGGCAGTTGCTTGATAATTCTTTTGACAATATAACACCAACTGGTGGGTCTGTTCCCTCACCAGTAGCCTCCCAAATGAGCAATATGCCCAATCCAAATAAGTTCATTAAAATGCTTGGTGGCCGCGATCGGAGTAGGAAGGCAAAAGCATTGAAGGTGCTGTTATGCTGACTCAGTCCTAATTGTGCTTTTGAACCTTCTTTGATTAGTATCTCCATATTTGAATGTTTTGAATTCCTTGTAGATGCCTGCTGGCCACATGGATTCAGGAAGTCCATGGTCACTGTTAGAGGACCAGGTTGGCTCACACATTTACCCGTATGCCCCCCTACACGTGCACACACATATATTTAATATTCTTAATCGCATACATTTACCCCATGCGGGTAGAGTCATGGACCTTTGAATAACCTGGCATAACTTTTTAGGCACTTATTGTCCTGGTACATGATATGGGTCCAAATTGGGAGCTTGTAAGTGACGCTCTCAACAGTACTTTGCAATTTAAGGTAAGATTGTACTAATCTTGAGTTACATAATCTCTATTGATTGAATTTTTCATAATTTTGATTCGTCTTTGAGGAAGTTTTCATTCCTTGGAATTTAGTTTTAGGATGTTTGTCATGTTTTTTTTTTAATGTATGTAGTGCATATTCCGCAAACCTAATGAATGCAAGGAACACCATAAGATTTTGATGGATAGGACTTCTGGTGATGGGGCTGATAGTGCCGAAGATTCTGGGTCTTCACAGCCATATCCTGCTACATTACCTGGCATTCCAAAGGTAAAATGCCCTTCTGTTTCTTTTCCTTTCTCTTATTTGATTTAATTTTAACCAGGTACTTTGTCCAATAATTTATTAATTTTATACTACCTGCCTGGACTGAAATCTTGTTACTTTAGTGGTGATTAACTGTTTTTATTGACTTTTACTGGTATATGTAACACAGGGAAGTGCCAGACAATTGTTTCAGCGTTTGCAGGGGCCAGTGGAAGAAGATACCCTAAAATCTCACTTTGAGAAAATTATCATGATTGGGCAGAAACAAAATTATAGGAAGACACAGGTATTTTCATCAAAACCAATGTACTTTAGTTACGAGTACACAAGTCTAGAAATGGCCTGAGCACTTTTGATCCTTGTCCATTTAAGCATGATTTTGTTTTCTCTTTGTATGCATGCTTTTGGTTCAATCTTACCCATTAATTTGGACGGAAATTTTGCAAAGCTGGGAGGTGGATTGTGATTGGTTCCAATGCATTATATTGTATGTGAAAGTGAGACTTTATATAGGTTATAATAAATGGTGATATGCTTTTGGCCTCTGGACTGGGTATTATTTTAGTAATGTGCCTCATCTAGAAGAACAAATCGTTTTAGCTTTTGTTTGTCAACAAAACCAGTGAACTATGTGATATGGCTAAAGATCAGAGATAATACCATAATGGTTTTCTGGAATTTATTTATTTATTTTTTTGTATGTGTGTGTATTATTGTTCTTGGAATTGTTTGGTAACGACTTGAGTATTCCCTGTGAGTGGGTTTGGAATTTCGTTGAATTGACTAGATAATAAGGAAGATAATGTGAAATAGTGAAAATCTGTTACCGAAGTGCATGTTGAAATAGGTTGTTTTAAATTGGGGGGCAGTTTGTGTCTCTGTTAGGGGGCGCGGGAGAGAGGCCGAGGAGGGATTCATTGTTGTAACAAATTGAATGACACGGTTGACTCAAGTCTCAAGAACTATTGCTTGAGGGTGTTCGTACTTGATAACATCTTTTAACAGCACTTGGTGAAAGAACAGGAAGATGGAACCATTGGTAACTTTGGATTGTTGGTTGACAAGGAGAGGGCTATTTTGTCGCAATGATATATGGAAAACTAGTGCAATTTCAAATTGAATCTTATTATTAGTTTGATATTTATCAACGTAAACTTAAACTATTTTCATTGGTATTTATTTACATACATATTTTTTTTAGAATGATAACCAGGATTCCATAAAACTACCTGACTGCTCACACATGGTTGCTCTTTCCCAAGTATGTCCGAATAATCTCAATGGAGGGACTATTCTCACGTAAGACGCTTCATTGATTTTATGATGGGCATTTGACTTCCATTCTTTTATGCTTAGAGGCATACTAATTGCTTCCTTTATTTCCCCTTGTTTGATCATCTGCTTCAAACTCAACTACCTTGTTTCAATGAAGACCCCTTGATCTGTGTGATACAACCACGTCTAGTTCTGATATGATTTCCCTGGGGTATCAAGGGGCGCACTCTAGTGGATTGACTATTCCAAATCAGGGTACCATGGCACAAATGCTTCCTGCATCTAGTGCAACTTGTGCAGTTCAAGGATCATCCAATCTCGTTATTGGCAATAATTTTTCATCACCTTCTGTCAGGTAACGGGTTACTAAAGACTTAAAATAATCGTGTTAACCCTGTTTTGGTGTTAAAATATCGGCTATGTGTACTTGGTTTCTCATTTGTAGGGATGGTAGATATGGGGTTCCTAGGTCTGCATCTTTATCAATTGATGAACAGCAGAGATTGCAACAGTATAATCAAATGATGTCTGGTAGAAATATTCAGCAACCCACTTTGTCTACTCCTGGAACTCTTTCAGGAACTGATCGAGGTGTTCGTATGCTTCCGGGTGGTAATGGGATCGGCATGGTGGGTGGCATTACTAGAACCATGCCGATGACTAGGCCTGGTTTCCAAGGAATTGCAACGTCATCTATGGTGAATTCTGGGAGTATGGTCTCACCTGGTATGGTGTCAATGCCAAGTGCTGTGATTATGCATTCTGGAGTAAGTTCTGGTCAAGGAAACTCGATGCTGAGACCTCGTGATTCTTTGCACGTGATGCAGGTACATAATTTTTGAGTCTTCTCTCTATTCTTTTCAATCTTGCCTCTTTTGGTCATTAAACTTTCTTTTATATCATGAAACTGTGAAATTCTATTTGCTGGTAGAAATTTCTTCTCTCTATTCTTTCAATCTTGCCTCTTTTGGTCATTAAACTTTCTTTTATATCATGAAACTATGAAATTGTATTTGCTGGTAGAAATTATTCTCTATAATTCTCTCGTTACGTTGTTTTGCCAAGCATTCCTGCTGATGCTGAAAACAGTGGATGATGATGGTGCGGAGCCAGGTTGGTACAGATGGGTGAAGATGAACAGCCAGAGGGGGAGAGATGGGTTAGAGATAGCCGTAGCTCATTGGTGCTGTAGAATATAGGAGTAGAAGAAGAAAATGATTCTCCCATCTCAACACCCACCCTCTAACACCACCATAGAAAAAGAGAGCAAGATCGCTCACTGTCCTGGTCAGAGTTGAAAGGCAGGACAATTTAAGACCGGGCATGTTTTGTAAAATGGGAACTTCTCTGTGGGCTGCATGATAGCCATTTTGACATATATACATACATGATAAATACAACCATGCATATATTTGTACACTAACTTGAACTACAAGGACTCTAAATCACTTCTCCGAATTTTTTATTTTGATCCTCTTGCTCCTGATCTTGTGGCTGAGTTTGCTTATGAAATAAAGATTCTTAAATGGAGTATATTGTTCTGTAACTGACGTGCTGATCTCACTCCTCTTTTCTGTAATTTAATATCTGGAAAACATGGAGGTATCCTCCCTCAATATCAGCTAAATCGGAACTCAGTGTTATAGTGGAGGTCATGCGGCCACAAGGTGATCGCTGTATCTACTAATTCTTTGATTCCAGTTGGTAAGAGGGATCTTGAACTAAGAGATAGACCTTAGAAGCTAAAAAAGGGTATCCTGAGCAATTGCAATAATCGGGTTCATTGATATTATGATAGGGCAAAAAATTGCGCAAGGAACTGAGAATCAGAATATTTTTCTAGCTTCTTGAATTAATATAACATCATTATTGGTAGGTAAATATAAATATAATGCAAGCATGCGCATATTCACACGCGCGCGCGCTCCCTAATTTGACCCATTGTAAAACCTCAAATTCCGAAAGGGCTGAACAGAACCTGTCCAGTTTGATTTATATGGAACCGGATGGGTTAAAAGAAACCGAATTTTGACTGGCTAGATGGACTGGATGGTGCCCACTCCTAATTACTTTTCATTTTATTTGCCAAGCTGACATGTCAAGAGTTCTTTGTTGTCATGAGACATTTTTTCATGAAATTTCGTCAAAGGGAATATATAATCAGTGTCCTCGAATCGTGGAGCAATCCTCATATAGAGAATTTAATGTCATCTTGGTCAGCGTTAGCATGGATAAATTGCAGGATTTTATTACTGCTATCAGAGAGTAAACACTTGTATGGTATGTGGAGTAAAAGTCCTTTCTAATTAATATAAATGTTCGTATCAATTTAGAAGATTGTACCTTCAAATATATTGTGCTCTCTTCATTATGGTTAAATGCATGGTTGTTACAAATGTTCTAACTTGGAACTTTTCCAGAGTGGTACCTTTATCTGTTTTAAAGTGACATGGCTTCAAGCACTGTTTTCTTGGCTACATACATCAAATCTAACTGTTTCCACTTTATGTTAATAATGTATGGTTTTCTTCTTTTGTAGCCTGGCAATAGTCAGGATTCTCAGAGACAGATAATGGTGCCTGATGTTCAGATGCAAGTATCACCAGGAAACAGCCAAGGACTCTCCCCGTTTGGGGGGCTAACTTCCTCTTTTCCTAACCAAACGGCCACACCTGTTACATCATACCCCCTCCAGCATCAGCAGTCACATCCAATGTCTCCGCAAAAGTCCCAAGTTCTTAGCCCTCATCATCCACTTGTTCAGGGAGCCAATCATGCTCCCAGTCCCCAGCAGCAGGCCTTTGCAATTCGCTTAGCTAAAGAAAGGCACTTGCAACATTTACAAGAGCAACAGCAACGACAATTTGCTGCATCCAATACTTTGATGTCACATGGAAAACCGCAACCCCAACTTCCTATATCATCTCCTATGCGAAATAGTGCACAAATTCAAACCCAAACAAGTTCTCCTGTATCGCTCGCTCCTTCAACATCAGCTTCCTCATTGAATTCAATGCTACAGCACCAGCAGAAACACCAGCTTCCATCTCCAGGGATGGTGCGGAGTGCTCAGACTGGTGGCAGTGGGTTAACTAATCAGATGGGTAAGCAACGACCACGGCAGCAACAACAGCAGTTTTCACAAGCTAATAGGCAACATCCTCAGCAGCGACAGCAGTCACAGTCGCAGGTAAAAGGAGTAGGGAGGGGGAACTTGATGCATCAGAACATCCAGATCGATCCTTCCTTATCAAATGGTCTCTCGAAAAATCTAGGGAACCAGTCTGTAGAGAAAGGAGAGGCCACGCATTTAATGCAAGGTCAGAGTTTAAATTCAGGGTCAGCAGTAAATGCTGGTCAATCAGCAAGGAAATTGACACCTTCACAATCATCTAATCAATCCCTGCCCCAGCAAAAGATATATTCTAGCCAAGCACCCTCATCTTCGAAACACAAACATCAGATAACTACTCATTCTGATAGTAGTCATGTTCCTGCAGTTTCTCCTGGTCCTGACTTAACTTCTGGACATCAGGCTGCTTCCAACCATCACAGAGTGATGCAACAGAATAACCAACTTAATTCCAACCTACCAAACAAGCTACAAACCAGAGATTCTGAATTTGACCAGCATCCAGCAAGCATCTCCTCTGAGATCGGTGCCAGGACAACGTTGCCTCAGCCCTGCAACAACGCAACTAATGTAGCACAAGTTTTTCATGCTAGTGCTCCTCGGTGGAATGCTTCTGAACATTCATTCAATCCATCAAATTTAGCAACAAATTTGGGTTTCGTGGGGTCTACTTCAGCAAATTCAAGTGAGCCTGCACCTCAAACCTGTCAAGGACCAGGTCAAAGGCAGTCACCGGCCAACTTACTTAGTGCACAGCAGCCGCAGCAGACTTCACAATTACAACCTCCTTCCTCACCAGTAGTAGGGAATGGCAGTTCTTGTGGTAGGCCCGGTGACCCTAGACTGGAATGAAGTGCTTTTAACAGGTATTAGCAGTGGTGAGTGGTCCTGCCCAGGTTGGGTCAAGATACTGTTTAGACAGCAGTGTACAGGTTAGTCCTATCGTGGTTTTTCTTACATCTGCAATATCAGTTGCATGAGTTCTTAGCTGTTTCATCATACGTGTATTTCACATGTTGGGTAAAAACACTGCTCCTCCCTGCACCAAAGTGCATGGGTGGGTTGGGGGGCGTAAAAGTAAATTTCCTCCATGTCCTGCTTTTTGTGCACCAGGCCATTTTTTTCTTTGTTAACAGAGCAAGGTAGATGGGGGTAATGTCCTTAGATATGGGGAATTTACAACTTACACCTGCATATAAGATGTATTTACGTACCGTGTTTGCATATTTATATTTTACATTTTACAGAATGATAATAAGCAATACACGCTGCGCAAAATTTTTTTAATTTACTTTTGTACAAACATACCATTTTAAAAAGCTAATTAGACAAGATTACCTCCTAATTGGAAAACTACAATATCACATTATAATACACTTCACATGCCATTTTTAACCATTATATTACCAATCAAAATTTTATTCACTATTTCTTTTTTTAAAACATATTATTTTTTCTCTCTTTTTCATGATTTCATCCATCTGCTACAGGAATTAACTTTTTGTCCGAGTACACTAACATAACCTTTTTCTATTTTCATTTCCAGACAATAATTTTTTTTATGAACAGTATTAATATTCGTCGTTTCTTCTATGGAGCTTTCTCGCAAAAAAGAGAGACTATCCACTGCAGAAACCAAGAAAATCATGCATGCTTTACAAAATTTTTAAGTTGCATAATGATATAAAAGCTAATAAACTGGTTAAGAAATAAAAGTGCATTTCTCAGAGTATGAACTAATATTTAGAATTATTTTACTTGATTTTTTAGTATTTATTATTTCAAAAGAACTTATTAATTAGAAGATGACAGCTACGAATTTCCATTTATCCATTTAATAATGATGGTTAAAAAATCAAAGGAAGGGTTTCTATATTTTTTAATATGTTATTAGCTCGATAAAATTAATTTCCTATCCATTTCAAGTTGAAGTTAAAGGCAAATGAAGATAATAAATAGGTATATCTTATCCCAAAAGGACTATTTTCTAAAGAGAAAATATTTAAAGAAACGTCAAAGCTTCTAGTAATGAAAATTATTAAGAATGATAAAATAGTTTGAAGTTTGGTTTATAAAGTGTTCGATAGGATATGATTAGGTTGGCTTAAAAAAAGGCTTCTTTTAAGTTAAAATAAAATAAAATGTGTAGTTATGGAATAGAATTCATGTTTGGATAAAGCACACCTAAGTTTGGGATTCTAGTCACATTTAAGCTAAACCAATGACAAATTATCGAAATGCCTTTTATGTTTGGGAATCTAGTTACTTTTCAAGGTAAAATGATATTTTCCTTGGTGAAAGAAAAATATGAGCACATGCCCCCCAAAAATAAGTATCACTTGGCCAGGGGTGTACAACAAAACCACAAAACTGAACCAGAATTGTTGGTGTGGGTCCATGTGGCCATGTCAAGTTTTAAATCAAACCAAACCGAACCATTTAGAAATGGTCAGTTTAGGTTTTGATATTTAAAATTTGCTCGAAACAAACAAAACGGTTAACCTGATTAAAAAATAAAAAATTTACTTCTTGTACCCAAGATATGTGATTTATTAGTTCAGTACTTCAATGTGTGCTTCAACAAACTTAATTTCTAGTCGGCTTTTATTGGCTCATTAGGATAAATAAGGATTTAATAATATTTTCCTTTTCTATTTAGCTAAGAATGACTTTAAAAGCTTCGATTTTAAGGTTGAACTGGTTATTATTTGATTGCTTTAAACTTATGTTGAGACAAGTATATTATTATTGTAAAGTTTATTTTAATAAGGTTTCAATTTATGCGTTATGTTGATATTTTATACCAATCCAAACATGCTCATAATGTAATATATAAGGTCTGATGTTATTTTCAGTTGGAGGTATTTAATGTAATTGCATGTATATTAATTTTAATTTGCTGATTGTTTGCGTTTGTATCTCAGCATACATGCTTTTCTAACTCCAATTATCATTTGTGGTGGAAGATACTAATTGTTGCTTGCATTTTTGCACATTTGAAGCTTATTGTTCAATCGGCGCGTGAGAAGATGACAGGAGTTGGTCAAATTTAGTTCGCAAAAATTTCAGCAAAGAGACGACGGCATGGCTGTATTTTTGGGTATTTTATGCATTATTATTGCCCTATGGCTTCGGGAAGATAGACAGACATAGAGGTAGGTGTACAGGGTCTTGTCCTCTTTTCTGGTTTTCCAGTTCAAGTTAGGAGTTTTTCTTTTGATAGATCGTCATCCATGAACCATTGCCCTTATGTTGGGGTAGTTGTCATTGTTATGGCCAAAGGCTATGAGAATTTTGCGAATGATAAGTCTTTGTTGTGTAGAATATTTGTCCAAATGTCGTCTTCCGGCCCGTGCAATTTTTGTAAATTTTTTGCCGGCTTGCAGTTGATAGAAGCACAACAAAATGCAACACCATGCGTCCACTATTATATGTTTGGTTGGCATCGTTGTATCTTGCATTGTTCTGTACGTATTTTAGGATTAGGGTAAAGAGGGTTTAGTCGTGTAGACCGCAAAAGAAAAATCTCATCTCGAATAATTTTGAGTACGTTTACCTTTACAATTCTGCTTGGTTAAGAAAACAGATGATAGAATGGAAAAACCGATGAACTTTAATAATGCTATTTATTTTTAGTGGTGATATTATCAATCTAGATGGACGACGAATTGTATTGCATAATGTCACTTTAGGCTGGTGATCAGCACCACTTGTGAGTTGTGATGACTTATTTACTCGAGAAGGTTTTTTGTGTAATTTGAGTCTCAAGGACCATTTGCTATTTGCTATCTTTAATACTCGGTACAAATTAAAAATAATGTTATGTATATACTTGTCACCCGTTTAAGTGGCAACATAATGGCATCAAATAATGGATTAGTCTACTTGTACGACATAATGTCAAATCATGATTGTCAACAAATCTTGTCAATTATCATTTTACATGTAGCTTGATTGATCGAATAATAAGTTCAATAAAATGTAAGGATATGGGATTGATTGCATTTGATTGGTTGCTAAGTTGCATTGATAAGCACTTCGGGTCATAAGTAACATTACTCGATGTAAATGAATGTTTGCTATGTAATAGTTAGACAATCTATTAAACAAGCTTAACTTGGATAAGTAAAATATTTTGCGATGCGGTAATTAAAACGGTTAATCTTGAGAACTATTTAATTGAAATTTAGCCCCCGTTTGGTCCTCTCTCATTCTCATTTTTTCTTTTCTATTTTATTTTCGACCACACAATCTTTCATAAAATAATAGTATTTTCAATAGAGTTCTTAAATTATTTCTCCTTTTTATTATAAAAATCATTCAATTTTATTCAGGTTAAATTCGTCCATGACCACTGTACTTTATTCTCAGTGTCACTATAACCATCCAAATTGGTTTTGATTTATCATGATCACTGTATTTTTTACTTAGTGTCATCATGTCATCCAAATTGTTTTTAATTCACAATGGTCACCCAACTTCATATAACTTTTCAGTTAAGCCACCCGATTATTACCACAATAAAAAATTCACACATAGTTATTGCCAAAAAGAAAAAGGAGAGAGAGAGATGAGAATCAAAAATAATAATAATAATAAAAAATAATAATAATAATAATACACAACATGGTCATCATTACAAAAAATTTTAAAAATTATATGAAATCTAAAACAATTTTTGTTTGTTTGTTTGTTTGTTTATGCTAACACACAAAATATACAAATTATCACACACCGCACACTCTTCACATACACAAAAAATAAAAAATCCACTAACCAAATGAGGAAAAATTATATAATATAAACCAAACTCAAATGAAGAAAAAAATTTATTAGGTAAAAAAAAAAGAATAAAAAAATACAAGAAAAATCAAATAACTCAAATTTAAAAAATTATATAATATAAATCAAGCTCAAAATAAGAAAAAAAAATTTGTTCTGCTTTCGTATAAATTTTTAATTTTTTTGTAATGATTACTATGTTGTATTTTTTATTTATTTATTTTTGTTTATGATTTTCATTTTCCTTTTTTTTTTCTTTTGGGGTAGTGATTGTGTGTGAATTTTTTCAGTGTGTTTTTTCTTTTTTTTTGGTTATGACGAATCAAAATCAATTGTAGTGGTCATGATGATATTAAATATACGGTGGTGGCCATAGGTAGATTTGACCCATTTGATTTATAGTGACTGATGGAACTTTCTAAGGCCGATAAGTTATAGACTGTTTAAAGAGTTTCAAGTGCCTCAAAATAAAACGAGATAGCCGAGAGAAAAAAAAAAAGCTTCACATACTTGAGTCTGCTACGGCAGTAATGTTCATTGTGGGGTTTCTAAATATAACTTTTTGGTGCCATAAGGTCAACTGGAGTGTTGACATTCGAGTCTTTAATCGCCTTGACAATTTTCACATTTTAAACGGGTCACTTTAAACTTTAATTTCTTGTTTATCCAAATGAAATTTCAATTATCTCCTCACTCGCAGAGTAGAACTATAAGGGTGTGTTTGATTGCAATGGTGGAAAATGGGTGGAAAGAAAATATTTTACAGGGAAAAGATTTGCCTAGAAAATATTTTGCAGGGAAAATGATTTCAAGTGTGTTTGATTGGTATAATTTTCCACCCGAAAAATTTTTAAATTTTCTATTCGTTTGGCTTTGTTTTACATGAAAATTGTCCATTAAAGTAATATTTTTTTCCACAATTGGTNGAAAATGCTGACGTGGCGGGTGGGGTGGGAAAATATTTTCCGTGGAAAATTTAGGCTGTCAAACAGCGTAAAAGATGGAAAACAGAAAAATTTTTCTTAATTTCCTGGAAAATTTCGCCAATCAAACAGGGCCTAATTGATTATCAAATTCCTCTCAAATAATTGGTCAAATTAACTTAGGGTATCTTTGATAACACCCATTTTTCATGGAAAATGGGATTTCTTTTCATTTTCCTTGCAAATGTATTGTTTGATGTCCAACTTTTTACCTGGAATTTGTGCCAATTATTTTCCACTCGTGCCTCATTCTTGGCGTGAGAAGAAAAGGTGTGGGAAAAGGTTTTCTGATCTGTCTGTCATTTTTTTTTAGCAATGGAAACAAATTTCATAACGAAGTGTAAAAAAAAATTTCACTTTCATGGATAATTTTGATGCAAATGAAAGCCAAATGAACACTAAACTTTGATTAAAAAATAATAATTTTTTAGGAAATATTTTTTTTTTCATTTTTGGCAATGGAAACAAATTTTATAACCAAGTGTGGAAAAAATTATCACTTTAATGAACAATTTTAATGCAAACAAAAGCCAAACGAACACAAAATTTAAAAATTTCCCGGGTAGAAAATTATACCAATCAAACACACTTAATTAACAATTCCCTACAAAATAATTTCTAGGTAATTATTTTTCCTGGAATTCATTTTCTTTCCACCCATTTTCCACCCTTGCAATCAAACGCATCCTTATATTAAACCAATTTCCAACACAAAGCATTACCAGCAGAAACTTGGTTTGAGCGATGAATTTGTTACTGAACTTTGGAATTCACGATATCAGAACCATAACGGGGCCGGGTTAACAGTGTAAGTGGGCTGTCCCGGCTGGACATTCCAACCGGTGGACCATAAGCTTGATGGGCCCTTGAGACATTTCACGCCCGTTGATGGGCCAAACCAGGCCTACTATTTGGAGGGCCATATCTGTTTTGACCCCTCTAGACAAGCAGAGAGAGTTAAAAATCTCAATGGTCACTATGCTTTTCAAGGTTATTTACCAATTACCACCCATTCCCTTTGAAAATTAAGGATTTCGACAACATAGTAAAAGGAAAGTCGAGCACCTCAACATGCGTGGTCAGAGCATGTGATAAAAATACTGGCAGGCCGTACAATGTCACAAAAAATGCCCACTTGATCACTCTCAACACCTTTACACAAGTTTACAAAGCCAGACAAACACACTATAATCGTAATTTACAAATTTCCTTCAAAGCTTTTGATTTGTACGTAAAGAGAATCATCTCAGATTTCTCAACGCAAAACTAAACGAGGCTCAACTAATTATCTCTGAAATGAAGAAAAGATTTTGTACCTAACTATTGTCTTCTTGCAAACTACAACCATGAAACTGTCAACAATGTCATTCTGCTCCAGGATTCAATTTCACCCACTCGTAACGTCCCGGGAGGGGCAATTCCTTCACGAAGTCGAAGTTATACCTGAAGACATAACACAACATAAAAATGTCAGAGATAAGAAAAGGAAAAGTTAAGCATTTAAAAGATAATGCGCCGTACTTCTCAATAGAACTGCGGTGCTGCAACTGCTCTATGCAGTCAAAAAATTCATCGATCTCAGATTCAGAAAGGACATCAGTGTGAAGGGCATCCGACTCATATTGTCCAGCCGCGGTAGGACCAGTCTGCCTTGTAGTGCAGGGGGTTGCACCGGTGTCTTGAGCCAGAGCCGCAATCAAACTCAATGCCGTGGTTTACTGAGTGCTCATACTGAAAACACAGAGTACATTAATGTGTAAAAATTGATTAGAACAGAGGAGCATAATGTTAGCCCTTATTATTAATATACGCAAAAACAAGATCCACTGCATTTTTTCAGCCTTTTCTGTGGCTCCATGAAGCCACGTTAATTAAGCTCATATTTGGTACGGATTCTTTAAAACACATTTTTTATCAAACTTATTTTTAACCACATTCCCTCAACAAAATAATTTTGCACGTGGATTTCATAACTCTTCTTTACTTTTAACAATACATCCTTCAAAGAATCACTTCTCAAAAAATCTATACATGCCATAGAATAACAGATGTGACATAAGAAAAATGCTTGTTGCACATCACTATTGACATAATCTTTTACAGATCCGTGAGGTATCAAAAAATGTATGGGAGTTTTTTTTTTTTTGGTTGACGAGATTTTGACCCGACCAAATCTCTCAAAATTATCCTTTGGTAAACAAATAAGTAAATTGTGATGTACATCTAGCACAACCGGTGACATAAATATTTTCCCTTGTAGCTAGACCCAAAAACTGAAAGGGGTTTTCGTCGAAAAGTTATTTGAATAAATTTTAAACTGTCAGAGTTTCTATTTTTTCCATTATCAATCTTTCTGTCAATTACTCCCAGTAAAACAACTTTTTCTTGCTATTTCCCAGTTTTATGCATAAGAATGCAATGAATTCATAAAATGATACATCCTAATCTGAAAAAAGTTGCAGACCGTGCAAAATCTGATAATCCAAACTCATCAAAAGTACAAATCAAACCCACTTCTTTTTTCCAAAATGTGCAGATATATTTGTGTTTTTCATTTTTTACAATGAAAGCAAAGAAGACGACAATATAATAATATTATGAAATATAAAGAAAATAAAGAACCCACAGACAAGAAACAAATACGATTAATTTACCTTTCTCTACCTTCCAAATTAAAATTGATTTCACCACAAGAACCCTCAATTTCCATACCCTCTTTCACCAACTCTTCACATTCCACTTCCATGCACTCCTCGTCTTTCATGGAAAACCCAACTGATCCTGGCTGCAAATCCGCCACGGAAAAATCATTTTCACAAGAATCATGAGAATTTGACGCCGGCGGAGTGGTGGGGGTGGCTGTCCGGCGGACACCAAGAGAGGACGGCGAGACTTCCGTCATGGGCACGTCTCCGGTTGCGTTAGATCTCTTCATGTACTTCCCCATTTTTCTAAACTTTTCTGCTATGCATGTTCTTGAGACTACTAATGCAAAGGGGAGAGAGACAGAGAGAGAAAGAGACTTCAAGTTGTGTTTTGGGGGTAATGTTACGGTAATCTTTTGGGTAATTATTTTATATTTTAATTGCATTGAAAGTTATCAATCTTTTATCATTGTAGTACTTATGTTCAAAAAAAGTTTTTGACCAAATTCTTATCCCCGACCTTCTATTAAATAGCGTATCGAGTTCCTAATAATGTTTTTTATCCAAATATTCAGTTTTTGTTCTTTGAAATTAAACAAAAATATTTTGTCACACTTTTTTATTTAATCAATTATTTACTTATTTAAAAATACGAGAGACATTTTTGAATATAAACCATTATCAAAGATAAAAATGTGTTATTTGATGGGGAACCAATGATAAAAAAAAAAAAAAATTGACCAAAAAAGTTTGGGATATAATTGCTACAATAAGCAAAGTGAGGGCCTTTAGTGTAATTAAATGTGATTATGCAAGATATTAGAGAATTGGTCACTTTGTACGCTAATCCTGAAAAGAGGGATTAACTGTAATGACTGTAATAACGTTTTACATTATCTAGTTAGTGGTAGCTATTGGAACAGAGTAATGTTATTCATCCCTAATGGGGTTACAAACACAGTTTATGTGGCTTTAAATGATAGGTGAAATGAATGACTTATTTAATTTCACCTATCATTTAATGTCACATTAACGCCACCTAAACTGTGTTTGTAACTCCAGTGGGGATGAATAGCATTACTCATTGGAACAAGTGCTCAGAAGTATAAAGATTTTACTTTAATTTTTAAACACATGGACTGTTATTAAATAAATATTATTTATTAATTTATGCTTTAAAAAAAATTATTGCATTTTATTGAGCATGCAAGCAGGTTCATTTGATTAATGAATGACGTACAAATTGGGTGCTTCCATGAGAAGCATAGACAAACTCAAATTATACATTAATCGAGAAATATATCGTGTTAGATCAATGAATAAAAGTTGATACTTTGTTCTAAAGAGAGTCAAACAGGGGTTAAGTCTCTAACATAGTCGTGCAAATAGTTAAATTCTACATGACTACTTTGTTGATTACCTAATATGTATCAGAATGGTGGTTCGTGAACTCTTAGGGTATTTGCCATACCAATGAGTGAACTAATTATATAGTCGATATCTCTATGACTCTGTGTTGGGAGCCGAAAGAAAGCAAAGTAGTGAACATGTATTTGCGTTCGAAATCCGCCATATGGATGGACAATGAATCTGCTTCAAGTGTTTTCTTTTGAGCAATTTATATTTGAACTCAGTTGTTAGTTATGGCTAAATAAATTCCGCGATGAAATCGCATAGAAACCGTGGAAGAAAATGTGAGCTTAAGTGGGATAATAATTTGGGAGAGTAAAACGGTCATGTTGGCTCTAATGTAATTATTTGACATAAATGGGATAAAACATATAAATAGCATGGCAAAACGACATAGTTATAGAAAATTAAAATAATATTGCTTCTATGATTTATATAACAGGAAATTACAGCCACACAGGTATTTAAGATCCAATTTTCATACTTTTAGAATCAAGTTTGATATTTCACAAATCAGGTTTTAAGGAATTAAAAAAATTATTTTTTATTTATAATAACCAACCCGATTTTTACGTGAAGATAGGAGAGTGGTGCTACGGTGAAGGCGGTGGAAAAAAGGGAAGGGCGGTGATCGAGACTTGTGTCTGAAATTTTGCGAACCGTGAATAGAAGTTATGGCGTTAACGAGAAGTTGTGACCGGAAGCCACAATCCGACGCTAGTGAAAATTTTGAAACCTCACAACGATCCAGAAGAAAGTCGAATGTGTCGAAGGTGAATGCCGTGAAGGAAAACTGAAAACCCATGGTAGGTCGCAACCGAACGTGGAAAAGAGGGGTCGAGAGGAAATCCCTAGAACTCATGTGTACCCTCGAAATCGAAAAAGAAGAATGTAAGTTTTTTTTTATTGTGATCATCAATTGTTGATTGTGACCAACATTTTTAATAAACTGTGACCGAATGTACATGTTTGAATAAAACAGTTTCATCTAGGTCACAGTTCTTGCCCGTCCGTGACCTCGATTTTTTGAGTGCGAAGTGACGTGTATATCTATTGTTGTACGTATAATGTTAGTTATTGTTTTATTGTGACCCAGGAATGGAAGTACATTATACCCGAAGATTCATGGTTTCTGAGGAAAATTACAACCAATGTGGCAAAAAATGTTCTATCAAAGTTCAATGAGGGTCAAAGGGCTATCTTGGCGAGAACATGCTTCTCGCACGTCATTGAATGTAATGAAATTATTTTGCAGCCTCAACTTATACACTATTTGTTGATGAGGGAAGTCAAGCAACCTAATCCCAATGAGATGTGGTTCAAGGTTGCTAATAGATATTTGAGATTTTCGTTGTGTGAATTCTATTTAGTCATGGCCTTAGATGTATTGGTGATGACTTTAGGAAAGTTATTGGCAAGGTTCCATCTAGGATTAAGGATACATACTTTGGGCATTTGAAGTTGGTCACAAACGAAGATGTGAGGGATGTGTTTCTGAATGTGTCTCACATTGACGATCATGATGTAGTGAGGATCGGGATTCTATATTTGATTACGTCGTACTTGTTCTCCACGGCATACAAAAAGGTGGTTGAAAATTATTTGTTTGCGTTGGTAGAGAACTTTGATCTTATGGTGAGGTTTCCTTTTGGCAAAGACTTATTTCAAATGTCTTTAAAATCTTTGAAGGAAGGTTTAGGTCACAGGAATCCACATTATAGGTTGAAGGGGTTCTTGGTTGCATTTCAAGTGTGGATATATGAGTCCATTCCCGGACTAAACGGACCTGTGACGAATAGGATGGGCAACAGTTTTTTCCGAATTGTGAACTGGAGGTCGGAGAAACAGCCGTCTGCTGTCAAGTTGGATGAAGATGTATTCTCCAATCATGATGTAAGTTCTTATATGTGTTTCATACACACATGTCACAAGGTCACATATTTGTATGAGCAGGTCACAAGTAACAGAATATGCATGCACACATCACACACGTTGTTTCATTACATATACCACCTTGTATACTTTCAGGTCATAATAAATTTTACTACATGCGAGGTTGACATGAATAACAAGTGTGTCGTGTGCATTTTTGTCACAGCTTGAAATATGTTTTAGTGTTCCAACTGACGTGGAGATGGAGGCTCCATATATGAATGGTGTTCTGTACACCAAACCTATGCAACCACGTATACCTGGATCTCGGAAGTTCGAAGATACAGAGCACGCAAGCACAGGTGCTGGCACATCCCAGACACGGTTGCTGATGATCACAGGTGGAAGAAATGGTCATTCCAGTGGTGTTGATGAAGATGATGATGACTTTGTGGTTCCACCACCCAAAAAACAAAGGACACTAACTTTTTCCATCCCCTCCACTGAATAGCAGGCAACACATGATGATTTTTCGATGGGACCACAGGTTGCGACATTCACAGCCCAAGTGAACAGCGGGCAACACATGAAAATGTTAATACGATGCCATAGGCAAGTGAGCCGACGTTGACTCATACACGTGATGCACCTCAATCAGATGTAAGTTGATTAATGTCCACGTGTTAAGTCACAAAGTATTTGTTACATTCTAATATCCTTACTTCAAACAAGTTCATTATAGATTGTGTATTGTCCCAATATAGGTATTCGAACTGTTGAAGGACTTGAATGGGAAAATGTCGAAGATGCAGTCGAAGAATGGGGAATTCACTGAGCATCTAAATGATGTCAAGTCACAGTTAATGTTATTGAAGGTGATTGGAAGAATAAATTGAACCAGATTATTCGAATGCAAGAGGAGATTAAATGTAACATGATGGACATAAGGTCCAACATGACTTTTTGTCGGATTCTGTAACTGGCTTGATTTCGAGTACGATGGATGCCATCTTGGAGAAGTTGAAAGAGAAGAATGATGGAAACAGTGATGCAATTGAAGAGCAACCACCAGAGAAAGTAAATAGAATTGTGAGTTTTGAATTGTTTCATGGTCTTTTTTGAAGTTTGACATGTAAGTTTTGTAATTCCATCAGGTCACAACACATGATCAACCTGTGGACAGGAAAGGAAAGGGCAAGTTGGACACTGCTGGTGTAGTTGACTACCCATATTTTTCTCCGACACCGTCGTTTGATTTGGGGATTTCATATACGCTAATCACTTCGGGTGCGGTGAATCTCAACGAAATTTTCCAAACTACAGAAGTACATCAATGTGTTGATGCAGTGATTGCTGGTGTGCTAGAGTGGGTTAAAACTGATGATGTAGATGCTGTGACGACGACGAAAAAAAAATCTGGGGACTGCGATATTGCAAAACATTTTTCATAATTATTATTCGTTGATTAACACACAAAACATGTCACTTGTCTCTTTCAATTAGGTCACAAGTCACAGGTTACACATATGTTGCAATACGGTTAAATGTCTCAGGTCACATGTATAACTCAATTCAGTCACAGGTCACACAAGTCACAGATTACACATATGTTACAATACGGTTAAATGCCACAGGTCACTTGATATTTCAATTTGTTCACAGGTCACACATGTCACAGGTTACACATATGTTGCAATACAGTTAAATGTCACATGTTACATGTATATTTCAATTTGGTCACATGTCAAAATTCACAGAGAAATGTCTATTTCAGTTATGTCACATGACACAGGTCACATATGCAATAACTCTGGGCACAAGTCACAGGTGAAACTGTAATGTGAAATGGTACGTAACCATGTGCACATAAGTATTTTATGTTTTGTCCTTTTGCAGGTATCACCTACATCGGCACCGTCATCTGGCTTGCCTGTTAAGAGGGCTCCCAAACCAACAAGGCTACTACAATCCCCATATGTCACAGGTGTTGGAAAAAAAAGTAAGAACTCAGATGATGTGG